GTTGGGTCAACAAGGATGGAAGCGGGTAGAAACAGGCCTCTGTTGCGGCCACGGCGCTTCTCTATCTTTTTGTGTCGCGAGCTGGGGTCACACACTCCTAGACACAGCACACAGTGTTGGCACCACCGACACTTGTTTCCACTGGCGCAACACCATCCCGTCCATTGTGCGGACGGACAGCATTGGCCGGTGTCGCCTGCCTCCCCCCCCCCCCCCCGTCAGGAGATTGCAGTCGGCCCGTGTTCGAGTGACACCTCACGGCGGAATTCTGCCAGCTGTCGGGAGCAGATCTGTCGGCCAGATCTGGGACTGTCAGCTGCTGACGCGTCTCGCGGCAGATGTCTCACCTGCCGCGCCAGGCTGCGGCCGCGGCAGGTGACTCTGCCCATGCGGAGACGAACTGAGAGGTGCTCAGTACAGGTGTGGGCTTTGGAACTCATAAAAGAACGCATGTGGCGGCACGCGCTAAAAAAATAACACGCATAAAGAATCGCATGGACCGTTTTGAAAACGTAGCTTGGGCAGACTATATTTTTCTATGACATAAAGATGGTTGGCCTACTACTCACTTCATTTTTTGCTGTGCAACTTAAATATTGTAAGAGCCTGGTTGATGTCAGACACGTGGCATTTCAGTCTTGACGCACTGATCGCATAAGAAAAAAATGCATCTGTGCCCAAACAGCCCAAGTCCCAAGGCTTTGGAAAATCCAGTTTTTGAATCCGTCAAGATGCCATCTGACGCGTCGCAAACCGCGCGTCAGGCGTGTGTCGATCTAGAGAGCATGGCCGGCTGAACACGTCCTCAGGCCCAGCAACGCTGTCTCGCCGAGGCCGGCGGACGGACGGGGCGAAGCCTCACCTGGTCACCCTTGGAGAGCGGCACGTTGCAGGTGACGCAGGTGAAGCAGTGGATGTGGTAGACGTAGTCGCGGGCCCGCATCACCAACTCGTTGGAAGAGATGCCGCCGTGGCACCGCTCGCAACGCTTCAGGGAGAAGAGCCTGTCGGAGGAGGTGATGGAGGGCTCTCAGCCATCACAGTTTCCCGATAATCAAGAGGTTCACATGTGCCGCATAGACGGAGCGTCGCAATCGCCCATCTCCGCCGCAGCGGCGCAGCTTAAGCACAGCCGGTGTGAGCATGTGTAAAACCAAAGATGCTTCACTCAGCACTTCGGTTCTCGGCTCCCAGCCCTGCAGGTCACGCCGGAGTCACGTCGACCAAGGGGTGCAGCGGCGGCCTGGCGCCAAGGCAAGGACCAAGGGGTACAACGGCGGCCTGGCGCCAAGACAAGGACCAAGGGGTACAGCGGCGGCCTGGCGCCAAGACAAGGACCAAGGGGTACAGCGGCGGCCTGGCGCCAAAACAAGGACCAAGGGGTACAGCGGCGGCCTGGCGCCAAGACAAGGACCAAGGGGTACAGCGGCGGCCTGGTGCCATGACCAGGCTGCCGTATAAGGCTGCTTCTCGCGGGTCGCCTGCTGGCTGCTGGCCCTCAGGCGCAGTGTTGTATTTAGCTCTGTACTGTAGTTCCCTATCCTTTCCCCAAATCTAAATAGAAAGGTGAGCCAAATGCGGTGGGGAGCCTGCATTTTAGTTCATTTTTTGGACATATTGCACTATTTTTTCGGGCGCTTTCCCAACTTATGTTGCAAAAGTACAGCGCTGTTCACTTCCTTCATTCCGAGTGATTTTTTTCTGTTCAGCTTTGCGTTTGAACGCTGCTCACCTCACGCCAGTTTCTCGGTGCGCGCCAGAGCTCAGATTGCACCTGCCACGCGTGTCTCCCTCTGATGTCTACCGTACGTCACGAGTCTCCCTCTCGTGTATACCGCGCGTCACGAGTCTGCCTCTGGTGACTACCGCACGTCCTGAACCTCCCTCTGGTGTCTACCGCACGTCATGAGTCTGTCTCTGGTGTCTACCGCACGTCATGAGCCTCCCTCTGGTGTCTGCCGCACGTCATGAGCCTCTCTCTGGTTTCTACCGCACGTCATGAGCCCCCCTCTGGTGTCTGCCGCACGTCATGAGCCTCCCTCTAGTGTCTACCGCACGTCATGAGCCTCCCTCTGGTGTCTACCGCACGTCATGAGCCTCCCTCTAGTGTCTACCGCACGTCATGAGTCTGCCTCCGGTGTCTACAGCACGTCATGAGCCTCCCTCTAGTGTCTACCGCACGTCATGAGTCTGTCTCTGGTGTCTGCCGCACGTCATGAGCCTCCCTCTGGTGTCTGCCGCACGTCATGAGCCTCCCTCTGGTTTCTACCGCACGCCATGAGCCTCCCTCTGATGTCTGCCGCACGTCATGAGCCTCCCTCTGGTGTCTACCGCACGTCATGAGCCTCCCTCTAGTGTCTACCGCACGTCATGAGTCTGCCTCCGGTGTCTACAGCACGTCATGAGCCTCCCTCTAGTGTCTACCGCACGTCATGAGTCTACCTCTGGTGTCTACCGCAGATCATGAGTTTCCCCCTGGCGTCCACCGCACGTCATGGATCTCCCTCTAGTGTCTCCCATGCGTCATGAGCATCCCCCTGGTGTTTACCACACGTTGCGAATCTCCCTCTGGTGTCTGCCGCACGTCATGAGTCTCCCCTGGTGTCTGCCGCACGTCATGAGTCTCCCTCTGGTGTCTGCCGCACGTCATGAGTCTCCCTCTGATGTCTGCCGCACGTCATGAGTCTCCCTCTGGTGTATGCTGCACGTCATGAGTCTCCCTCTGGTGTCTGCCGCACGCCATGAGTCTCCCTCTGATGTCTGCCGCACGTCATGAGCCTCCCTCTGGTGTCTGCCGCACGTCATGAGCCTCCCTCTGGTGTCTGCCGCACGTCATGAGCCTCCCTCTGGTGCCTGCCGCACGTCATGAGTCGAACGAACTCTACTAGCTGACTCCAAAGGTCAAAACTTGCATCCAGCGTAGGGCTTACCAAAAACGTGTCCCGACAGCGAACATTCTCGGGCGGAATAGTCACGAACAGGTAAAAAGCAAACAGCGAGCGCATCAGATAGGAAGCTAGTTTTGACGTGCAGGCGGATCGGACAAGGAATCCGTGGCTAGCTCGCACCAGCTCGAATCCCCATGCCTCGCGCGCGGCGGAGGACGCGCGTGGTGTCGGCCGGCGGCGGCAGACGCGCGTCCCCTCCGGCGGGGCCTCTGACGCTCACGTCATTGCCTCACGGATCGGAGCCGTGAGTGGCAGCGGACCAGCCCCCCCCCCGGGGCCGGAACGGCGTGCTACCCGTGCCCGACACGCCCGGCGATGTTGCAGACAGCCGTTCTCGACGGGAACCGCGGCTGACGCCAGCGGACCCGCGCCGCGACATGTGTACGCCTACAGGAATGATTCGGACGCGGCCAGGCGTCCCGAGAACCTGTTAGTGACATTGTCGATAGCGGCGCGTGACGTATTTATTCCCGTGATTCGGAGACGATTGGGTATGTCGGACTGCCCGTCAGTCGCCGGGCGCATTGTCAGACCCTAACCCGGCCAAACAGCATGTCGCCAAAACAGACAGGCGCAACCGTGGAGAGGATTTCCTGTCCTATGTTATATAACATCCCACGAACACGCGGCCGACGAATGTCGAAAAGCATGCCTTTTACGACCGGTTCTCAAGTCCCAATCATGGCGAGCGTGACTGGGTCCCTGCTCAATCGGCCACCCCCGGCGTCGCTATGCAAATGCGTGAGAGAATTTCGGCGAGACAGTTTGCACGATGGGGAGGCCGCGCCATTGATTTCCCCCAACTTCCCCTCATTTACCCTCGGTTACAACGCCGCCGGTTATCGATGCCATTATCGCACACGGCTGGCGCCGCCAGAGGACCGCACTCTGAACACATCTGTACTAGAAACAGTTTCCACACGGTGTCCAGTATCGGCACGCGTTCTTTGGGGCTTAAGGTGAACAGGACGCCCCCGGGAGGACGGGGGGAGTGTGTGAGCACCGGGGCGGGACCTTCGTCGTGCGGCGCTGGGGCGGGTTCATCTCGGCAGCGGCGAGGAGGCTTGCTTAGTCAGCCTGGCTCCCCGGGGTCACCTGGGCTGCTGGGCCTAAGGTAAGGCTCGCACGCCTAGGGTGCAGGTGAACTGTTCAGTTTGTATGTTCCAGCAGCATGCTATCATCCGAGGGCCAGGACCCGGCGCTTCGGAACTGCGGTGTAGTCGCATGCCCAGCAGTTGTGTTTGACTACTCAGCTTTGATTGGAACGAGCAGCTGTTCGGGTAGAGCATCGCTCTGCTAGAAGCCACATCGTTATTCTGATATAATTACGTGAAGTGTTGCGCAAATAACACCTGACATAGACGATAAAGAATTAACAGATAAACAAATATCATCTTTAAAAAATACGACACGACATGCTCTGGTGTTGCAATTGTGTTGTGTAAAGGCATTAATCAAGTGGCGATTAGGCGCGCCGCCGTCGCGCCACCACTGACAACTAGGAACAGGCCGGGCACAAACCCTTTCCCGCGCTCCCCGCGGCGCCACAGAGCCCGGGTTTTCACACCGGCGCTGCGGAGGGGACAGCTCAAGCCGGATGACACGGCGGGGCATCTCTGCAACACCAAGCGTCAGCGGCCGACGGGGGGGGGGGGGGAGCCGGAGACGGGCCTCTGTTTGACACCAGGCGTCGGCCGGCCGCCGAGAGAGGCCCCGGTGAGGGCCGGCGGGCTCCAGCCGAGCTCGGCGGGCTGAGGGCGGCTCCAGCCGAGCTCGGCGGGCTGAGGGCGGGCTCCAGCCGAGCCCGGCGGGCTGAGGGCGGGCTCCAGCCGAGCTCGGCGGGCTGAGGGCGGGCTCCAGCCGAGCTCGGCCGGCTGAGGGCGGCTCCAGCCGAGCTCGGCTGGCTGAGGGCGGGCTCCAGCCGAGTGTCGCAAACGCCCACTGACTTAGCCAGTGTTCCGCCCAACGATAGCACCAGAGAACTGGTGCGGAGCAAGACTGGTTTGGAACCTTAAATCTTGGGATGACGGAATTTTAGCTCACATGCAGCGGTGATGCAAGCCGTGCAAGACGTGAAGCAAAGCCGGCGTAAAGGCCGTTGAGTTCGACCTAAAACTACAGACTGCTGTATATATCGGCTGCCGACGGGTCCAGCCTTAACACGTGTTGGTAAGCTCTGCGTTGGAGCATCGCATCCCAGTTTATCTAAACACTTCAATACAGATGAGCGCAAAATCAGCATGGGAAACGCAAACAAGTGACAACTTGCGTTTAACATAAGTTAACATTAGTCAACATAAGTTGACTTCAGATGCTTTCTGTACAAGTTGACTTCAGATACGGTCTGAAGCCAACATAAGAGACCAACAGGTTTTCATGACTCATTCCTCGCAGCATGGTTTTAGCTGTAGACAACTGAATGCAAAATACTTGATCCAAGAGGTAACGAGGTAAAGCTAATACTTTCAAACGCTTATATCTGGACCTTTTGTTAAGCAATCAAGCGGTCTCCAGCACCAGTCGGTGTAAATATCAACCCTATACCCTTCGCTCTATGCCCTGTGCCCCGTGCCCTGTGCTGCACCACAAACATCCATGGCGACTTGGGAGGCAAAAATGCCGCACGCGGACGCCATGTGGGGGAAATGATTTGTCATGATCACGCGACCATTTACACGCCCCTGGCCACCACTCATGCATGCAGTGACTAATTGCTGTAATGGCAGATGCATGATAAATAATTACGCAATCAGTTATGCACCACGCTAACCACATGTTTTCGGCTTCACTGGTGACATTATCAGTGTCCCTTCGCCTTTTTAACATTCATTCATTCGCGCTCTTAAGAAAATCTGAGGAGTTATATGACAACTATGTGGTATGTAACTAAGATGACAATATAACCTCTTCCGAAAAATATATATCCGTGACCACACATCTGAGCGCCGCCTGTCCTCCGCTGCCCTCACTTCACCGGTTTTCTTGCGAGAGCGAGATTTCTCCTCTCCAGTCTCCGTCACCCGTCCAGGCCGATTTCACCCGTCGCCCGCGTCCCTGCGAGGGCCTCCTCCACCACGGTGGGCGCGACCCGGACCTGTCCCTGCGGCCGGCTCCGTGTGCGCGGGCGGGCCGGCGGCGTCTGGGTCGGTGGCTGGCTCGGCTTGAGCCCGGTGTGCGCAGCTTGAGCCTCGTCCTGGGATTAATGATACGGCACGAGGCCCGGTAGTCGACCGGCGCAGTCCTGCTGGTAATTAATGACAGATCAGTCGTAATTTGCTTTGTAATGATACGGACCACCCTCCCCGAACAGACAACCTGCGCCGGTTGAAGGCGCCACACTGGGCCAGAACGCCGGCCCGCTCCCGACGGAGGCTCACGAACGCAGCGGGGTCACCCGGCCTACGAACGAGCCACTGCGTCTGGCTCTGCCGGCCCGGGGGCAGGCCGCCCGCTCCCACAGGCGCTCTTGAAGAGGCAGGGCGTCCCGCAGTGTCGGCGGCTCGCGGCCTCGCAGCGCCGCCCAGTCAGCTGCAGGCTGCTGGCGGGACGGTGCTGGCGCTGCAGCAGCAGCTGGAGGGCCAATTGCGGCCATCAAGTACAAATGATCCGTTGCGGGGGATCAGGGCGGCGATGAAATGGTCTTCTCCGTGGCGGGATGGCGGGGTGGAGGCGCGATGTGCCGAGTCGTTTCCCCGTTTTCTGTCTCCATGTCCATCATATGCCACAAATTTTGAAACGAAATCCCGCCAGTCGTCGCGGAATAGCCGCACCCTAAGGGATCACCTTGATTCAAATCGTGATTTTTTCTCCATATCTAATCATAAAAATATCCTCATAAGCCCGAAATTCAAGCAATGTCTGTGTGCGGTGAAAACACACGCACTGCTCACCGCTCAGTGAGCTCGAGCAATTCCTACCTCACATGCCATTCACCTTATGTCCAGATCAGGAACAGCATAGCGCCCGTACCAGTCGCCAAGCCGTGCTCACAAAAGTCGAGACTCCATAGATAGGTATGATAACCAAAAAGAGTCGTTACAATCGACAGAAGCCTGAGCTTCCCGGTCGGGACAGCATTCTGAGTTTCATAGTTCAGGTTTTCTTGAGAAACGATCTTGTCAGCTCTGCTCTAGACGGACGTTTACGACACCCAGGTGTCCTCACACAATGTTATTAGGCTCAACTTTTAAGCTTTAATCTTGAAAACAATATTTTTTACTGAGATACCTATTACCATGCCGGATGACAAAGACAACAGGAGGTAAATGTACTCATACAGTAGAATTAGCTCAACAGTTAATATCCTGCAACCATCTTCTAAGCTCCTGTAGATGCACATGAGCTTGCCGAACCTTTCGGAGCATAATCGGATCACATTTTTTTCTCGAAAAACAGGCTGACTAGTGCCACTTGCTTTTTCAAGCAGTCACCAGTGGAAACACATGATGTTTAATAAGTATATTTGAGATGCTTCATAACTGTGACAAAAATCCGCACGCCGCCGACCGATTTTAAATATAGGAATGAGTGGCTTGGATACATTACCATCCCCTGCAAACACTCTGAACTTAACGCAACGAGTTAAACGTAAGATGTAATGATCGTTTGGTTACAACTAAAGCGAGTGCACGGAACACTTGAAGTTATGGATTTCTAAGGAGGCGGTGGTGGTATAAAGGTTAGGGCGCTCAACTCTGGAGTGGTCGGTCTGGGGTTATGGTTCCGACCATATCACGACTGCATCCTAAATGGCACTTATGAAGGCTTCCTTCTCGAAATGGCCCCGGCAGACGGTGAGACGTGAAAACCCAATCCTTCTAATTACTAGCCGTTTTACGATGGATTGATACACATTAAAAAATTTAGGAAGGGTTTTAAATGTTTCTATGGAGTTTTGCTAGACACTGAACACTCTGACACTGAAAAACTGTTTTTATGCAATTCCATTGGCATGCAATAGGCAATCCACGTGTATCCAATTGAGAATAGGTTTGTTATACAAAACGGAGACCCTTTTATAGACAATTATTCAGCCTATTCCTTTAGTTCACCCAAATTCAAGGAATATGCTAGGCATGCCAGTCAGCGATAAGAATCGGTCGAGAGCGTTGGATGCTGGCTGCGTCATCACTGTTTACATCGGTGCTGTGTGGAGCAAGGCGGAGTTAAGGATTATTTCATTCAAGGAGCATGCATTTTGGATCATGTTAAGGTGTGTAAGCCCT